TTAGATATGTCTCATGTAAATAAGATTTAGCAGAATTTTTTAAAAAGCTCAATATAGCAATATGACATTCTATTTGGTGAGTTTAGTCTACTTACATTTATTGTCATGATTTATATTTGGACCTGTACTTTGTTTTCTATTTATTTCATCCTTCCGCCCTATACTTGTGTCTGTTTTGTCTTATTTTTGATTGATTGAGGTTCTTCATTTGTTTTTAAAGATTTATTAGTCCTTTCTTTTCCCCATATACTGGTTTGGAAGTTGTACATTTTATTGCTGTTTTGGGTGGCTTCCCTTGAATTTTTTCATGCATACTTAATAGAGTCAAAAGTTTATTAATATCTCAGTATCCCCAAAATATTACAAAGATCTTAGAAAACTAATCCCAATCACTTCCATCCCATTTCACCAACTATTATATTATCCAGTATTTTGCCTCTTTTTCTAATCTCCCACATTAGAACAAAACTTAAAACATTATTTTATAAAGAAATGTTACTTTTTTTTTTTACCAGTATTTCTCCTTACTATTTCTCCCTATATTTCAGATCTTCATTGTTAATCTCATTTTCTTTTTCCTTAACTACAGCTTTTAGTTTAGAAGTTAGTAAAGATGCCATGGTGGTAAACTTGGCTTATGTTTGTTTGGAAATATTGTTATTTATCATTTTTGAAAGACAGTTTTGTTCAATAAACAATTGTAGGTTGGCTTTTTCTTTCAGCACCTTGTAAATATTGTTCTATTATTTTCTGCTTTCCATGCACTGTTGAGAAATCTTTTGTTAGTCTAATTATTGTTTCTTTATAGTGAATTTTTCTTTTCTATCTGGCTGCTTTTAGGATGTGCCATTTGTTTTTGGTGTTCTACTGTTTCAGTATAGTGTGTCTAAATGTGCAATTTTTTGTGAGTGGTTTTTTTCCTTTCCATTTTTCATAGTATAAGTTGTGTTTCCTGTATCTGTGTCTTTTACCAGTTCTGGAAAATTCTCAACCATTATCTTTTTTTTTTGATGTGATAAAATATGCATAGCTCAACCATTATCTTTTAAAATATTGCCTCTCCTCTATTTTCTCTATCTTCCTTCCAAAACTCCAATAAGCTTATGTTGGNGGCCCCATGAATACTTATTTTTATGTCATTTTTTCAGTTAACATTAACATTTGTTTTGAAGCCTTATTTTTTTCCCCTCATTTTTAACATGGCAGGCAAAGTCGATGACAGGAATACAGAACAGCTTGGGGTGAGAACTCCAAATTCTGTAGTTTGGGAGACTAAGCTTTCTATTAAGAGCCTCTACCTATGAATCCCAGAAGGGGCAGCTTGAAAAATAAAGGGACAAATGCCAGCAGCTTTGAGCCAGATTTTATTGAAAATCAATCTCCAAAACAACACTGATAGGACTAGGCCTAGATTCCTGAAAGTGGAGGCTGTTGCTGTGGACATCCTTCATGTTGTCTGTTTCGCTTTTATTCCATCTTACCTTTGTTTTCCTTTCAGAGCTGCTACTTCTCATTTCAGCCAGATTGCACTGAGTATAATAACAAACCCAGAAATAAGGCCCAAACAGTTACAAACCATATATTGTTGAGTGGAAGGGGATCCAAAATAAAAGCATTTCCCCCTTTGCCCTGTAGAGAAATTCAAACAATTTTTTTGGCTAACTTGAATATATGTTTTAGAATGTAGATTAAATAATCAAAGGTATAGTTATAAATTAAACTTAACTTAGTTCTACACTGACATTTAAAATAATAGATAAATACATTAATTTTAGTAATTTTTTTCTATTCTCATTTCTTGAAACTTTTATTCAGAATCTTCTCATGCGTTTTCAGCATTGTGAAAGCTACTTTTTGAGTTAACTAACAGATTCCAAAGCACTTCACCTGCTCTTCCATCCAAGTTGTTTAAACAACCATATATGTACTGTCATTGGAAATTTCATTCCAAACCATAAGTATCTATTTGCTCTGTAGGCTTATTTTTGTGGTATTTGCAAATAAATACTGTTTTGGTTTTAAATATATTTAAAGACTTATTAAAAACAACTTTCAATACTAGAATTTTGAGGTTGTATGCCAGAAACAAACTAAATTTGTGTTCAATTTCTTTGTCTCAATTTTTTTTATTATACCAGATGGGCGATATAAATATCCAAAATTAGTATTAATTGAGAATATTTGAGGCAAATGTGTCTTATATTGCAAACATCACTTTGTTGTTCAAAACAGAGTACTCTGTTTTTTCTGCAGTTCTTCATTCCCTCTGTTTAGTTCCCAAGTGTTTTCAGCAAAACCCTTCAGTGCTTGAAAACTACATTTCATACTCGATGGCTTTTGTTAACACATATTCTCTGTGATATAGTATTTGCACAGTGCTGAGTGCTTCTCCAATATTCAATAAATGTTTACTGAATAAAAAAGGGTTGAATGATTATTTTCAGTCTATACAGATCTAGAGAAGTAAGTTTTTGTTGTTGTTTTTTTAATTGGGTGAAGGGAACAGCGTTGGGGAATCGGGGAAGGGGAACAGAAGTTGCTGTCCTTTTGTTCTTCAGTCTAGTTGTAGAGAGAAGAAGCAAGTTTTGTCTCAGATTTTAGGAGATCTACTGGACAGTTAAAAAAAGGTTTGTTTTTAAACCACATAAAACTGTGTGTGAAATATGAGTCCCAAATGTATTTTAACCAAAATATTTACATTTTTGATTTTTAGGTTAGTTTTGTCAGATGAGGAAGTGAGCTTGGGAAGTGAATCAGGTAAGATGGTAAATTCATCAAAATGTGAAATAATCACATTTTAAATGACAAAACAGTTTGTCACAGCCATTTAAAATAGGTTGTCTTAATATCCATTCAATTAAAAAAACATATTTAGTCACTTTATAAGTCTCTTCCGTACAACCACTTTTGAGTTAGCTTTCATTTTTTTTCTAGCTCTACTGAATTAACACATAACACTGTGTAAGTTTAAGGCATGATTAAACTTGCCTAAATCAACATGATGATTTAATATACGTATATATTGCAAAATGATTATCACAGCAAGTCTAGGTAACACATCCATCACGTCTCAAAGTTACCATATTTATTTTGGAGGTAAGAACATTTAAGATTTACTCTTAGCAACTGTCAGTATACAATACAGTATTATTAACTATAGTTACCATCCTGTACATTAGATTCCCAGAACTTATTTACGTTATAACTGGATGTTTATACCCTTTGACCAGTCTCCTCATCAAGACCCTAGCAACTACCAATTCACTCTGTTTCTATGAGTTTGGCTTTTTTAGATCTTACATTTAGGTGAGATCATACAGTCTTTGTCTTTCTCTAACTTATTTCACTTAGCATAATTCCCTCCAGGTTTATCCATGTTGTCACAAGGGCAGAATTTCCTCCTTTTTTATGGCTGAATAGTGTGTGTATGTGTGTGTGTGTGTGTGTGTGTAATTTTCTTTATCCATTCATCTGTGACAGACACTTAGGTTGTTTCCATGTCTTGGCTATTGTAAATAATGATGCAACAATCATTGGGTGCAGATACCTCTTTAAGATAGTAATTTCATTTCCTTTGGGTACATACCCAGAAGTGGAATTTCTGGACCATATGGTATTTCTACTTTAAAATTTTTGAAGAAACTTCATACTGTTTTCCATAATAGCTATACCAATTTACAGTACACAATTTACAGTACCAATTTACAGTTACCCTTTCTCCACATCCTCACTAGCACTTGTTCTCTTGTCTTTTTAATAATAGCCATTCTAACAGGTGTGAGGTGATATCTCATTGTGGTTTTGATTTGTACTTCCCTGATGATTACTGCTGTTGAACACCTTTTCATGTACCTGTTGGCTATTTGTATATCTTACTTGGTTGGGAAAATGTTCATTCAGATTTGTTGCCCATTTTTAAATCAGATTATTCAGGATTTTATTGTTGTGTTTGCTATTGAGTTGTATGATTTCCTTATATATTTTGGATATGAACCCCTTATCAAATTTATGGTTTACAAATATTTTACCCATTCTATAGTTGCCTTTTCATTTTATTGATCAGTTTTTTTGCTTTGCAGAAGATTTTTAGTTTGATATAATCCCACTTATTTTTGCTTTTGTTTCTTGTGCTTTTGTTATCACATCAAAAATCACTGCAAAGACCATTGTCAAGGAGTTTTTTTCCCTATTTTTATTCTAGGAGTTTATGGTTTCAGATATGACATTTAAGGCTTTAATCCATTTTGAGTTAATTTTTGTGATAGGGGCCTAAGAACTCTCTCAGCTTTTGTTTGTTTGGTAAAGTCTTCTTCATTTCTGAAGGACAGCCTTGCCCAGTATAGTCTTCTTCATTGGCAGCTTCTTTTTTCTTTCAGTATTTTTAATATATCATCCCACTCTCTCCTGGCCTGTAAAGTATCTCCTGAGAAATCTGCTTATAGTCTTATAGGGGCTTCCTTGTATGTGACAAGTCACTTTCTTGCTGCTTTCAAAATTCTGTCTTTGACTTTCAACATCTGAACTTAATGTGTCATGGTCTCTGGTTGGGTGAAGC